TAATGATCCCTCGGCTTGTCCCTTGCAGAAAGGCGATAAGTGTTTCGAGAGGTTCGGTATTTTCGGCCTCGGATTGCATTTTCAAAGTATGGATTTGTGAGATGGCACTTTCTAATGATAATTCACTCTTGTAGAGAATTTTATAAGCTTGACGCAAGTGGCTAATTTGACTGGGGGAAAACCCGCGACGCTTTAGCCCTTCTACATTAATTCCGTGAGGAACCGCTTTGTCACCTGCAGCAATCACAAAAGGCGGGAGATCTTGGACTAATGCAGAGGCTCCTCCGAGCATGGCGTGTGTACCAATTTGAATAAACTGGTGAACACCGCACATTCCACCGAGAATTGCCCAATCGCCCACCGTCACATGACCTGCAATTTGTGCATTACTTGAAAAAATTGTATGGTTGCCGACGAGGCAATCATGACCAATATGGACATAAGACATAATCCAGTTGTCACTACCTATGCGGGTAACGCCTTTATCTTGTACGGTTCCAGTATGGATCGTGGTAAATTCTCGAATGGTGTTACGATCCCCTATCAAAAGCTCTGTTGGCTCACCTTGATATTTCATATCCTGTGGTGCACCGCCGATGACCGCGTAGTGACCAATACGATTATCGACACCAATTGTGGTAACACCCTCTAAGATGCTATGGGCACCAATCGTCGTACGGGCACCAATACGAACTGTAGCACCAATAATAGTATAAGGCCCAATATGAACATCATGGTCAATTTGAGCATGCGGGTCAACAATGGCCGTAGGGTGAATATATGTCATGATTTAAGTAGGTTCGTTGCGTTTGACAGTACACATTAACATGGCTTCCGCAGCCAATGCGCCATCAACTAAAGCTTGTGTTTTATAACGCCAAATACCCCTAATATAGCGGTCCAATGTACAATGTAGGTGCAACTGATCGCCGGGAACAACGGGGCGCTTAAATTTAGCATCATTGATGCTCACAAAAAAATATACATCATTTTCACTTTGTTGCATGCTTTTATCTGCAAAGGTCATTAGCGCGGAGGCTTGAGCTAAAGCCTCCAAAATGAGTACACCAGGCATAACGGGGAAATGCGGGAAATGTCCTGTAAAATAGGGTTCGTTCATGGAAACATTTTTAATGGCATGAATGAGCTTCCCTGGGTCAACAGACAACACCCTATCAACCAGTAACATCGGATAACGATGGGGTAACAAACGCATGATGCGCTCAATATCCATCGATGACAATGACGTACTCACTAATCTATCTCCTTTAATATATCGATTTTTTTCAGTTGTTGCCGCATTTGGTATAATTCACGGCTCGCGATAGTGTTCCGTTGCCATTGTTTATAGGGTTCAGCAGGCTTGCCGCCCGCATAAACACCAGGTTTATCAATGGATTGTGCGACATCTGATCCGCCGGAAATAGTGACTTTGTCGCAGATGCGCAAATGCCCTGCAATGGCCGCCCCCCCACCAATCACACAAAAAGCACCAATATGTGTTGAGCCTGCAATTCCCGTACAACCCGCAATAACGGTACATTGTCCAATGTGGACATTGTGACCAATTTGCACCTGATTGTCAATTTTACAACCTTGCCCTATGACCGTATTACCCAAGGCACCGCGGTCGATGGTACTGCTTGCCCCGATTTCCACATCATTACCAATCACCACTTTGCCAACCTGGGCGATTTTGACCCAAGCTAAACTGGCGTGGCTTCCTGAAAAATCAGGGGCAAAACCAAAACCATCGGCCCCGAGCACCGCTCCTGAATGGATAATCGAGCGGTCACCCAGCTGCGTTTCTGAATATATCGTGACATTGGGGTAT